TGATTCTCCATTCCCCCTCTCAAAGCTTGTATCTCCATTCTCCATACCTTTGAATCAATAAAATACCCGGCGACTGAAGCCATTGAAGAGTGGACGTAGGTCGAATTGACCGAACCACTATAAATTGTGTCTTCTCTAATTTTTTCGTTGATTTCATTGCATTTATTATCTATACTTGACAGGTGGTGTGCAAAACCATTTTTGTGCATCATCAGTTTGGCGCCGTCTGTGGGAATCGACAAAATTCTCACTCCTGAACATTACGTCCATTCACTAATGGCGATCACAACTCGATTCATGAACCAACACGAAGACAATCCTCCACGAGAGGAGGAGGTTGCTCCCCCGCCTATCAACCCTGTTCCGGATACTTTAGCCCCGAATCCCCAACAAATATTGGAGACCATGCAGCAACTGGTTGCTCAAAACCAACAGTTACTGCAACTCATACTTGCTGGACAAGGAGGAGCACCACACGGAGGTGCACAACATGGAGGACCCCAAGGTGAAGCACCACACGGAGGTGCACAATGTGGAGCACCACATGGAGGTGCACAACGTGGAGCACCACATGGAGGTGCACAACGTGGAGCACCCCAAGGAGCTCCACATCCTGGACATCAAGGAGCACCACGCCCTGTTGCTCCACGCCCGGGTGGCCCATTGGGCGCCCCACTTCAGGAAGCCCAACATGAGGGAGCTGCACCTTCCCCTCCCCTTGCTTTCCAGGGAGAGGACCCTTATCTCCAGGAGGATGAGGGTGAAAACCAAAGCATGGGGCATGGAAGCCACTTCCATGATCATTCCAGAGGAGCCCCCAATCATTGGGACGAGAAAATAAAGGAGGTACAAAATCAACTCGGTGATGTCTTCAACGCCATGACGGCACAGGGACCCGAGACTGTTGACCACCTGGTAAGGCGTACTGATACCCCTTTCAAATCTGATGTAGCAAACTACCCCCTCCCTCAGAAGTTCAAAATGCCATCTGTGGAGACCTTTGATGGAACAAAGGATCCACTGGACCACCTCGACACTTACAAGACCTTGATGCAATTGCACAACGTACCAGACGAAATCATGTGCAGGGCGTTCCCAACCACATTAAAGGGGTCTGCCCGACAGTGGTTTGCTAAGCTCTCCCCCGCCTCTATTACCTCTTTTGTCGAGCTTAGCAGATCATTCGTCTCACACTTCATAGGAGGGCGTCGCCACCAGAAGCCAGTTACGCACCTGCTTAGTATAAAGCAGGACCGCGAGGAGAGCCTGAGGAGTTACCTCACTCGTTTTAACGAGGAGGTACTCCAAGTTGATGAACCCGACGACAAGGTGACGATGACCGCCTTCTTGGGTGGCCTCCGTTCATCAAGTTTCCTTTTCTCGGTTCTAAAGCGCCCACCGAAGAGCATGCCAGAACTATTCACAAAAACTCAAAGATATATGAATGCTGAGGAAATCAACAAGTTTAGGCAAGGTGAATCATCTCACAGATCACCAAAAACTTGACCTGCCTCTGCACTGTTCTCAAACAGGCAGTCTATCTCCAGTTTAGCGGCTCTCTCACGGGTCGCCAAAAAACTTGGCCTCTGCACTGTTCTCAAACAGGCAGCCTATCTCCAGTTTAGCGGCTCTCTCACGGGTCGCCAAAAAACTTGGCCTCTGCACTGTTCTCAAACAGGCAGCCTATCTCCAGTTTAACGACTCTCTCACGGGTCGCCAAAAAACTTGGCCTCTGCACTGTTTTCAAACAGGCAGCCTATCTCCAGTTTAACGGCTCTCTCACGGGTCGCCAAAAAACTTGGCCTCTGCACTGTTCTCAAACAGGCAGCCTATCTCCAGTTTAGCGGCTCTCTCACGGGTCGCCAAAAAAAAAAACCTCTATATTGTCAGGCAGTATACCTCAAGCTTAAAGGCTCCCTCATGGGTCGCCAAAAGCTAGGTCTCAAAAAATGTAGCTCTCTCACGAGCAGTTCTCCAACTCTGTCTTTGCTCTTGCGCAAGCAGCCTACTTTTCCCTCTCCAGGTAATTATGTGAGATATTTTAATGTTTGGAATAACATTATTTTTGTCATCACAAGCAGGCTCTCCCGAGGCAGCCCTAGGCTCACCCAAGGCGCCCAGCACCTAGAGAAGGGCTTGATCATCAAGAGCAGCACTCAAACCTTCCTTACTACTTGCAATGTCTAGCCCAGCGCCTAGAAGTGTGCTTGACTGCTGTTGCTCATCAAAACAAAGTTGCCCAGTAGCTTGAAGGGTGCTTGGCCTTTCAATATTGCACAAAACAGAATTTTCGGCGCAAAAATCAGCACCTAAGGCGCCCAAATCAGCACCTCGAATGAGAATCGGATCAGCCCGTGCTCCCAGGCCACTGCCTAGCTCTCCCTGACAAACCTTGGACTGATTTTCAGCACTCCTCGATGGAAAAATGCTGCTGCCCAGCGTTCCAAAGCCGCCCAGCGCAGCAGATCTGAAGTTGTCCGGGACAGCAGAATCAGCAGCTAGGCTGCTGCCCAGCGCACCTGGGCTGTCCAGGACAGCAAGGCCAGCGCCCAGGCAGCTGCCCAGCACGCCTGGGCTGTCCAGGACAGCAAGGCCAGCGCCCAGGCAGCTGCCCAGCGCGCCTGGGCTGTCCAGGACAGGAGGAGCAGCGCCTAGGCAGCTGCTCAGGCCACCAGCGCGCGAGGAGCAGCCGCCCAGGCCCCCAGCGCGCGCGCGCGCGCTGCCCAGCTGCGCGCCTGCGCTGCGCAGGGCGCCTGCGCTGCCCGTCTCCCCTTCCAGCGCGCCTGCACTGCCCAGGTCCCCAGCGCGCGCACAGCCGCTGTCCAGGCCCCCAGCGCGCGCACAGCCGCTGCCCAGGCCCCCAGCGCGCGCGCGCGTGCTGCCCAGCTGCGCGCCTGCGCTGCGCAGCCACGCGCCCAGCGCGCCTTCGCTGCTGTCCAGCCGTCTCCCTGCGCAGCCCAAGCCATTCCTCGCGCCGCCCATCTCCCCTTCGCTGTCCAGCTTTCCAATTTCAGATCCATATCTTTCTTCAACCTCCACCAATCCCTCTTCAATCGACATTGTTCACTTGAGAAGCTCAACTAGCAAGGAAGAAATCACACTCTTGAAAGGATTCAAGGAGAACACACACTTTGGCTTCAACAAAATGGGTAGGACTTGAGTTCTCAAAATTTTCAAGAGGTGGGTTCTCAACCTTAAAAATAAGTGAAGTGGTAATTTGAAGAAGAAGACTATATTTATAGTCTAGGGTTTCTTCAAAAAGAGGAAAAAAGCCCAAATAGACTAATATGGGCCCTCTTCAAAATAAAGTAGGCAAATAAAAAATTATGGGCCCTCTTCAAAACAAAGTGGCCAAAAAGAAAGTTATAAGCCATTTTTCAAAACAAAAAGGCCAAACAAGATATTATGGGCCTTCTTTAAAATAAAATGGAAGAAACTTAAAAAAAAAAAAAAAAAAAAATGTAATCAATGCCTCCTTCTCCAAGTCTCCTTGGACATGGGGCATTGGGGGGCAAATGATGGGTTAAGCCCAAGTAGTCCAATTTATGTATTAAAGCCCAACCCCGGTTGAGGAGCCCAACCTCATCGTGAATCCACCAAGTCCAAGACAGACCAAGGCCGGTTAGACTTCTTGCTTAGCACGTCACCAAGAGGAGAGCACGGGAAGTTTATCTGCTCCGCCTTAAGGAGCCCAAGGCCGGTTAGACTTCTTGCTTAGCACGTCACCAAGAGGAGAGCACGGGAAGTTTGTCTGCACCGCCTTAAGGAGCCCAAGGCCGGCTAGACCTCTTGCTTAGCACGTCACTAAGAGGAGAGCACGGGAAGTTTATCTGCACCGCCTTAAAGAGCCCAAGGCCGGCTAGACCTCTTGCTTAGCATGTCACCAAGAGGAGAGCACGGAAAGTTTATCTGCACCGCCTTAAGGAGCCCAAGGCCGGCTAGACCTCTTGCTTAGCATGTCACCAAGAGGAGAGCACGGGAAGTTTATCTGCACCGCCTTAAGGAGCCCAAGGCCGGTTAGACTTCTTGCTTAGCACGTCACCAAGAGGAGAGCACGGGAAGTTTATCTGCACCACCGAAGGAAGAAAACGGTCCAATCATTGACCACATTTCATGAAGAGCTCCCCAACCTCTTCTTTTCGTTGAGGATAAGTCGCGATCTCCACCAAAGATAATCTCTAAGCTGCGATAAAGAAGCCTTGAGGATATATCATGATCTCCACAAGAATGATCTCTTAGCTAATATAAAATGGCTCTAATCTGGGAGAGAAAGGACACACGCTCCATCAGAGACTTACAGAAGACGAACCGACTACCGGAGATTATTATTTTCTATGATTCTCCATTCCCCCTCTCAAAGCTTGTATCTCCATTCTCCATACTTTTGAATCAATAAAATACCCGGCGACTGAAGCCATTGAAGAGTGGACGTAGGTCGAATTGACCGAACCACTATAAATTGTGTCTTCTCTAATTTTTTCGTTGATTTCATTGCATTTATTATCTATACTTGACAGGTGGTGTGCAAAACCATTTTTGTGCATCATCAATACCTATTCCTTTCTGAATGTTGGGCGAAATATCGAATTCTTTTGCTTTAACCCCTTCATGAAGATAGTCCAGTGTTGCACCCAAACTGGAAGGAATAGCCATGATTCTGCCCAGTACTGTGTAGTGTCAATCATTGGTACTGGAGAGTCCAACTTTTTGCTGGTGTCTTCGCTAAGAACCTAAATGATCCATGAATTTTAGAAGCACTAGTTGTAATGCTCTTTACATTTTGATGCTTTCAAAACTAATTCGTGTTTGTGGTTTTTGTTAAGATAAATCTAAAATGTTGACCATGAAATCTGAAATATGGATTTTATATGTTGTTGAGTTGTGGGTTTAATGAGAATGGTCACATGAGTTTCCTTCTGTTCTCTACCTTTTAGATTTATGGTTTGTTTTGTGGCAATAATCCCGATTTTTCAATTTATTCATTTTATTGGAACAGTACAATGACTGCATCCAGAAATGGCAGATTTATGTCAACAGACTCTAATAAAACCGATGAGCGCTTCAAAGTTGAGGAAGCAGAGACAGTTAATATGGCCCCACCTCCAACAGAGAAGGTACTCTAATGGTTTTAGGTATAAGTTACTGCATTGCTTAATAAATGATGGACGTTTTCCTCCTGCTCACATGTAGTCATTTTTGTGTTTCTCGATTCAGTTGCTTGTGCTGGGTGGAAATGGATTTGTTGGCTCACATGTTTGCAAAGAAGCTTTAGATCGAGGTTTGTCTGTTGCTAGCCTTAGCAGGTATTAGCTTCTTTTGCATTATGGTTTTTTGTTGGTGAGCTTTTAATAGGATTTTTTTATCTGAGACCTGATTGGATTTAGTTGTTCATTTGGATATGTCGCCTCTTTATGCCTGGACTGCCTATTTTGAAGGTGAATAAGTGTTTGTAATGAGATAATATGGTAGGTAAGAATTATTTGAATTGTTTTATACTTTTACATGCCATGTATAGATAGTGAGGAATATTTGATTAGAAAATATGCTAGATTCCCTTTTACTTTTTATTTTTCAGCTATAATTTAAGATTTTTCTCTTGGATTTATCTTTCATAGACATGTATGGCTGCTCTGATGACACAAATCTGTTGTATAAGTGAAAAATTATGATTGATAACTCACAAGATGATTGTAGAATTACACACTAAAACGTACTCAACTAATGGAACCTAAACTGTTTGGGGCAGATTGTATGAATATTTTGTCATTGTGCCGTGTTTCAGAACATATGCTTGGTTGAGTTGCAACCACCATATTTTTGTAAACTACCTCACCTCATATTAAGTTTCATGCTAGATAGGACTTTAAGGCTTTTAGGAAATATATTGATATTTGAGGGAATTAGCTTGTGAAGGAGAGAAAGACAAATAGGGAGGATAAGATAAGCCTTGGGATCAGACGCAAGGGTTTGATGAGTAACCCCACCGAGGAAAGATGAAAGAAACTCTCTTTCAAAGGCTTCACATCTCACCAATTTCTAAGAACTTGGAAATTACTACACAAATATATGAACTTAAATCAAGCACCTCATCCTTCTGAATCGCAATTTTACACTGGAAAAGTAGTAACATAATAATATAAGAAACCACAAATGTACAATAGATTATTTTGACAAGTTACCATACTGTCGAAGTAGAATCTAATGCCAAAGTTGCAAGTTTAACAAGCAATTCTTTTTATTTGCATATTTGGACAGCTGGACAAGCAATGAAATAGTAAATTTAATTTTTTCTAGGCACTACTATTGTTAATATTCCATGGGGACAAATAATCTTAGCCATGGGTGTTGGTGCCTATGGGCTGTGTGGCATGAGTCAGATTCCAAAATTTTATTCTCTTTGATTTTCTTCTTCTTTAGGCCCTTTGTGTGGTGCATCATTTTTTTCCATTCCTCTAGTATTACCGTTAATGTACTGTACCACATTTCATCGATGCAGTCATTGCTTTGCTCTACTGGTGCGGAAACCTTCTTGGTCCTTTTATGCACAATTTATCTTCCAATGGTGTTGTCTCAACCATCTTGCAAATAAAGCACAAAGTTGCATTCAACTAGAGAAAGTGAAAATAAATGACACAAATTGAAGTTTGCTGATAGTTAAAATATGGATATGAAAGACCCCTCGGAATGATTTTCCCAATGACTTATACTTATTAGCTTTCTGTTGGAGTTGTTTTTTATTTTTATACAAATTTGAGGCTTATAGTATGTTATGCTAGTTAATAATTGCTCATGGACTGTGAAGAATAGGCTATTGGACGCTAATTTGGGTCACTTTAGTTTATTGTAGGCTGATTTTTACTCTCCTTTCTCTCTATATCCTCAAATTTATTAACTAATTCTATCCTTTGTGTTTGTAAACTGGTGTTGTTCTTTTTGTAGATCTGGTAGGTCGTCCATACAAGAATCTTGGGCCGGGAGCATGGCTTGGCATCAAGGTTTGCTGTCTTTTATGGTACATTTCTTTGTTACATTATGCTTAAGATGATGTAATGCCTCTAATCATTTCCCTTCCTGCTGCAGGAAATTTGCTTTCAGATAATTCATGGAAGGAAGCATTCAAAGGAGTTTCTTCTGTTGTACGTAGTGGTGCCTTAATCCTTTAATGTTTGTGCGACATTGTTACAGTAGAATGAATCCTGACTCATGCTTTTCAAACAAAAAGAGGAGTAGAAAAATTAAGAAAGAAAAAGAGAGCCTGAATTCCCTTTTCTTTTCTTTCCTCTGATTTTTTGTGCATTTTTTTAACTTTGTCTTGAGTGGTATTTTAGTGATAATCTATGGAACTTCTTGTTTGTTGCGAGTTGCTTATTGCTTATTGCTTCATAATTTGCTTTTGTTCTGAGAATGTGGAATGCTATCATTTTGTGCCATACAATTTTCCCAACCGTTTTGGATTCTTTTTTAGGTCATCCACTTAGTCTTAATCCTGTCATTGTTTGTGTCTTAAATCCTTTCTTTTTCGTAATGATGTCATCTGATATGTGAGACAACTCATTCAAACTTCCCTTTTCATTTCATTTGAGTCTTAATTGAATGCGGCTTGCATATGGTGGCACTAGTAAATGTTGTAGGAAACAATTTGCTACAGGCTAATACTTCAAACTATTATTATTTCAAACTATTGAAGTACATACATAGAATGGGCATAACAGAAATGAGGATATTGATATGTGAAAGTCATCTGAGGTTTGAGTCATCTTAATCTCCAACGAAGCCTTGTTTTCAACTGCCATGTATGCTTATGTTGCAAAGCAAAAGAACTGGAAATTCATCTCTCTCTCTCTTTCATATTCTATATGGCCCTGGAGAGATGTTGATATAGATATCTCAATTTGTTTCCTATTGGATGCAGATACTGGTTCATAATTCTTACTTTTTAATTCGATGTCCACCACTGCAGATTTCTTGTGTTGGTGGTTTTGGCTCTACCTCATACATGTATAAGATCAATGGAACTGCCAACATTAATGCAATTAGAGCTGCTGCAGAACAAGGTATTGATAGACTGATTAGTCTGCTTCTATGTGATGTCTCTGTCCCTCTCGCACACACAGATTTTGTTTTCCATGTGATTGTTAATGAGTAAAAAAATCTGAGCGGTGTGCTAGATAATAGAAATTTTTAAGGTGTATCAAAATTGACCCAATTGCAGCTTTCTATAATTGGCCATCTCAATATTTCTAATTATTTCGAATCATGAATCTTCCATAGTAAAGAATGCATTCTTAATGAAACAGATACACGTTGTCTTCAAGAAAACACTCTGTTTCCTAACAGTTGATGGAATCTTCAAGCTATTTGAGCAGGATTCTGATGATCTCATAGGTGGAGTTTTTTGTGGTAAATAGGTAGAGAAAGAGATCAAAGAGTTCGATGATATTAATCACCAATTTGTTTGGAAACCAATTGACTCGTGAATGGTTTCCAATATTTCTGACAGCATCATTTAAAATATTTGAAGGGGTCCCCCGACTTCTATTTTACCAATCTATTCTCTTGTTGAAGAATCCATAGCAAACCATTCCAGGACAGACCTCTTTATTAAAACCAAGCCTACTGCAAATAAGTCAGCAGAACTGTTTCGGTATTAAATTTTTGTCCTGTTTAGAAAAAGCTGTTTAATGTTTGACTTCCAGCATTCTCTTTATAGGCAGTGCTTGTGGATTCAGTTCTGACACACCAACGGGTCTTTAGTCCAATGGTACTCCTTACAAGGATTTGCCTTCTTAAGGTCAAGGGTTGAACTCCCCCCCCCCCCCCCAAAACAAAAAACCCACACACACACAAAAAAAAAGCAGTTCTTACACCAATTTTATCTGGTAAATCCTTGTGATGCTATTTATATGCAAGTAATGCGACATTGATCTTCTCTTTTGTCTTTTTGCGGCTCTTTTTATTTTTCCCTTTTGTCCCTAAAAGTTGGGGCCCTTGCATCAGGAAGCTCAGGTTAATGCAAGATGGATTGAAGCTGTCTTCAATGTAAAGAACCTAAGTTACTACCTGTTCAAGTGATTGGTAGCTATTACTCCTGCCAAAAGAGAGAGAGAGAGAGAATGTCTCCTTGTGACCAAAAGCCTATTTTCTCTTTTCTTTCTAGGAATAAACATAATTGAAAAACACTGAACAATAGTGCAGGAAGAATTCTTACCTGAAGAGAGGATAAATAAATAGAACAAGAAGGAATATATATGTATATATATTGGATAATTTTTAAATATATATTGAGTTTAGTCTTAGTACTAGACCTGTTTATTTCAATTATTTTTCAAATTTATTGGTCTCTTTATCTAATAGGAATATAATGAAAGTTTTAACTTTAAATATACTAACTTTTGGCTATAACTATATGGATGGAATTGAACCTGTTAATATAGCTTATAAAATTCATTATAAGATAATGAATACCTTTATTCCAAATTCTAAGTACTACAATAAACAAGGTACAACTACTCTAATAGGGACAAATTATTTGAAAAATAGAATAGCTCAAAACAGAGCTATTAAATGGAAAAGTATTACTTTTCCAGAATCATGGAACTTACAATCAGTAGTTCCTACACAACTTATAATTAAATTCAATTTGTTTCTGATCGAATTTTCAGATTAAACATCGACGTTTTGATTGGTTCCACAAGGAATTTACCATCACAATATTCAGGACAATGAGCCTATTGATATTGCAGAATTTGATCCTACTGCATCAGCAATGGAATTTCCAATATGAATTCACAACCATTCAAAGTGGATAGGACAAAAACTGCATTCGAATTTTATCTTCCTAAATATTAGGAATTTCGAGAATGGTATTTTAACTCCTTTAATAAAGAGGAGTTAAAATACTATAAAAATCAATTTTACAATCAAATCGAATTGACTTAAGAAGTCATTCCTTTTGTTCAATAGTTTTTAATATTTTATAAAAATAAAAAATTTGCTTATGTTAATACACTTAAGCAATTTCATAAACAATGGAATACTAAGGATTGTAGAACCCTCAATTTAATTCACCCTCCAACAGTTCCTCTCAAATTAATTAACAATCAGGACAATGGAAAAACTATTTTGGAAGCTTCTGTTTTCATTAGTCCAAAATCCTAAGAGGAAAATCTTAACAAGATCTTTAAACAAAATAATTATACCAATATTTGTTTACAAAAAATTGGTAAACAATTAATAAGAATTGAAAACTCTTTTGGAGAAATCTTCCAAAACAATTATTACACTACCTCTAAAACCATCAGTTTAGAAATAATAAATATCAAACCACCACCAGACTGTAAAGGATTTAAATTAAATCTTAACAAATCTGATGATGAATTTTTAAATGCATTACATGATATACTAATGGGTCTAAAAATTAATTCTTATGGTAAAACATTAGATAATAAACAAAAGCAGCCAATGACTAAAAATTAATGTTTTATCTCAAGTTGAAAATAATTATAAATCAAAACATTCAGATTTAGAATTAGCTAAAATTTAGCAGTTCCAAAATTCATCACTAGATATGCGACAATCTAATTAAATTAATAAAATTGGGTTAAAATCCAAATTACGAACTAATACTGCACCAACAAAGGTCATATTATCTTAGAGCTACGCCCCAGAATATTTTGTATGAAGAAACTTTCTTTGCAACCTAATGGGAATACTGTGAAAAATCTATTTATGAATGAAATATTGATGACTTTTCTAAATATCGAATTTATCAAGTTTTGCACAAAATATTAATGTATGTGTCTGTGTGTAGACAAAACTCAAAAACAATTATTAAACTTTAAACAATTATTATTGTGTTTACACACATATGCATATATTAACATTATGTGCAAAACTTGATAAATTTAATATTCAGAAAAATCATCAATATTCTATTCATAAATAGCTTTTCCATTGTATTCCCATTCAGTTGTAAAGAAAGTTTCTTCACACAAAATATACTGAAGCATAGCTCTAGAATAATATGACCTTGTTAATGCAATATTAGTTTGTAATTTGGATTTTAACCCAATTTTTTAATTTCATCGGGATTGGATTGGCGCATATTTTGCAATGAATTTTGGAATTGCTGAATTTCTACTAATTCTAAATCTGAATGCTCTGATTCATAATTATTTTCAACTTGTGATAAAACATTAATTTTACTAGCTATTGATTGCTTTTGTTTATTATCTAATTTTTTATCATCAGACATAATTTTTAGACCCATTAGTTTATCATATAATGCATTTAAAAATTCATCATTAGATTTCCTAGATTTAATTTAAATCATTTAGAGTTTGGTGGTGGTTTGATATATTACTACTTCTAAAACTGATGATTTTAGAGGCGGTGCAATAATTGTTTTGAGAGATTTCTCCATTGAATTTTCAATTCTTATTAATTGTTTACCAATTATTTGCAAATAAATATTGGTATAATTATTTTGTTTAAAGATATTATTAAGATCTTCCTCTTGGGATTTTGAAATAATGAAAACAGAAGCTTCTAAATTTGTATTTCCTCCTCTGAATTAATTTGAGAGGAACAATTGGAGGGTGAATTGAATTGAGGGTTCTACAATCCTCGGTATTCCATTGTTCATAAAATTGCTCAAGTCTATTAACATGAGTAGATTTTGGATTTTTATAAAATATTAAAAACTATTGAATAAAAAGAATGACTTCTTCAGTCAATTCGATTTGATTGTAAAATTTATTTTATAGTATTGTAACTCCTCTTTATTAAAGGAGTTAAAATACCATTCTCGAAATTCCTAATATTTAGGAAGATTAAATTCAAATGCAATTTGTTTCCTATCTACTTTAAATTGTTATGAATTCATATTGGAAATTCCATTTCTAATGCGATTGGATTAAATTCCGCAATATCAACAGGCTCATTTTCCTAAATATTGTGATGGTAAATTCCATGTAGAATATTTTGTTTAGAAAGTTTGACATCTTCTATAATTGAAGGTTCGTTTCCTTCAGACCCATTAACAGGTCTGTCACATGAAGAAGAAGAAGGATTGGTTATAAGGGTGAACAGAAGAGGTACTTGACCTTGGTTGATCAAAATGCCAAATTGAAGAACATCTTGATAATCTTTCGACGTTTAATATGGAAATTCAATTAGAAGCAAATTGAATTTATAGATCTTTTTCTGGAGTTTGAGAAATTTGATTTATTTTCCTATTAATTATGGGTGGGGTAGGAACTATTGATTGTAAGCTCATTCTTGAAAAGTAATATTTTCCTATTTAATAGCTTTGTTTGAGCTATTCTATTTTTCAAATAATTTGTCTCTATTAGGTACTTGTACCTTGTTTATTGTGGCAATTGAAATAAACAGGACTAGTACTAAGACTAGACTCTGTAACTCTCATTAGAGATTGTTTAAAATCGAAACATCTAGCATCTTGTAATGCTAGAATAAAACTTGTATTGGTTCCCAAAAGGGTAAAAGGTTTTAATGCAACCTGCACCAAACCAAATGGAGATATTGATATTTCTCCTTATGTCTAGTAACCTCTCGATGACTAAACAATTGTAAAGTCAACATTGAATTTTCCAAAGAAATTGTTTGTTTAATTGTTTTAATTGACAAACTTGATTTGAAATCAAAAGATCCAATATTATAAAACCTTATTAGGTTTGATTTCTGGCATATGCCAATTTTTTAGCATATTTTCTACATTTGAAAATTTAAATTTTAGAAGCATTTTTAACAAATTCACTCTTGTTGGGTAATTTTCGAAGCATTTTTGGTTTTTAGAGATGCATATATATTCTATACGGTATAGTGTTATAATAATATTCTGTACAAAAATAGTTTACAATGACATGTGCTATAATGATTTACTATTCAGTGTCTTCTACCTTACCCTCACTCTTCTGTCAAAGATTTATCGGAACCTAAACGGCACCATCCCATCCTGGTCAGCAAGCCAAAGTTCTTACGCGACTTGGGTGAAGAACCATGAGAGTTAAATAAAAGAAACATATCGATAAATCACTATATCACAAAATCACTAGTTAAAACTATAGAATAGATATATTACTATTAACACATTATGGAAAAAACTATGGAATACTGGTACCAGAAACAAAAGTTAACAAGGACGAGTTTTAGTAACCATGTAACAGATCATAAAGTTTGGGTTCATAGAGTACCCAAGGGGATTGTCAACAAAGATCGATTCTCTGGGCTGACACGTTTGCATCTGCATCAACATCTGAGTTCGGTGATATGGGTGATATCGAGGATAGGTGGAGCACCAAGAAAAACTTACTTGGACAATGGATGGAAGTTATAAAGAGATAAAAGGCTCCATGTTGTGTTCCTGAGTTGGACAAAGGACTCTAGGCCCTTGAGCTAAATGAGTATTAGCTTAATTATTCACGTGATCAAGGACATATTCGATGTTGAGGAGTAGAGTGCAAGGCCGGTTGACAAAATTGAACTTGTATCACATAGGCTACCTCATGGTGCCTTTACAGGCGGAATGGTCAACTAATAGGGAACAAATATAGTTGACTAAGAAGCTAAATGGGAACATTTTATATTGGGAGAGGTCAAATGAATTCGAACCAGTTGGTCGACTTGCCTACTGATTTAGCAAAGCTATTCTGGTATTTTCCAAAAATTCTAACCTACAAGATCATAAGTATTGCCTGCATATGATAAGTAACCAACAAACATTGACCTTCACCGTTACTCACCAGATGTGTCACTCAACCCATTCCTGATAAGGAGTCTTGCTTGTGTTATAATTGTTGCTCACAGATCCATGAACTAGGAGAGGAGGACAGGTAAGAATACAGGAGGTAGCAGTTCTTGTTCCTGTATTTCTGGGGCTCTTAAACACAGGGAAGGTCTAGCATAAGAAGTGAGGGAAAGTCTGGTTGGGAACCCCTTTTTCACAGCCTCCTTGTTCAAATGAGAGATCTCTTCTCAGGGGAGTCATAGTCTCCAGATGAGGTTTGATGATGCAGTTGTTTTATTGTGAAATAGTTTCAGCTGATGAGACAATAATAGGGGATAGTATTAACTGAGGTACAGAAGAATGCTCATGTTTTCCTAGGTTCCAAGATGAGTGGGACTGCATACTACAATATGTGATACATAGGAAATTCTGAAAACTTAGCATGTGGGGGTTGTAGAATATATATTAAGAAACTAACGTAGCTGGATGATTGAGCTATGGGAAAATGAAACAATGTGCCCATTCAAGCATCTGGGACCAAATATGTATATAAGAAGGGAAGTTGAGGAGGATGCTGACAACTGACTTTGACTTGGATAGCTTCTCAGTTTGACTTGGATGGTTTTAAGTGGAGATGTATTCTCGTATGTTGATACCTTTTCACTAGGTAAGGCTCGTAAAAATACAATGGCCAATGCTTTGTTTGGTAGTGTGCTGAAGTATTCACAAAAATCATTATTGTAGTACAATGAGCATGCACAGCTGAAATGAGAATGTTGAGATTGGTTGTGCAGTGGTGGTTAGAATGAGAAATGATTTTGTGGACCATTAAACTTATTACAACTCATCTGGCCATCTGCTGGAAAAACTGTTTGCCTCGTAGCTTTTGGTGGGTGTGTTTTCAATGAGCCAGATTTCTTGTGGTGGGGGCAGACTAAAATGTTATTAATAACTTAAAATCATCATACTAAAATTAATATCACGGAACACATAGAGACGAGTGATGTGCAAAAAAAGCTAACAAAAAAATTCATTACACATTTTCCATAAGACTAACAAAAAATCTATGTACCAAAAAAGTAGTGCGCAATAATAAATTGAGTCTTTACATAATGGAGAGAATAAATAGCAACATTAAATCAAAAAAATTTAAAACAAAGATTTCAGAAATATAAAAATTTATCTTGAACCTATGAAAACCAAACATACATATAGAAACACTTCAATCTATCATAATCAAAATTTTAAAGTCCAATCAATCCAAAATGGAATCCATAACTTGCAAATTTCAAACATAGATTTTGAGGGGCTTTGGGAAAGACTATATTTTTTGGCCTCTTTTTGGACTTCATTGTTCAAGGAGTTTCAAGATATTCCTCTTTTTTGTAGTAGAACAAGTTGGAAAGCATCTTGTGGCTTGTAGTTCTGATTGCTCTTTTTCTTTCTTTTTTTTTTTTTTACGGTTTTCATTGGCCAGTCTTGTGTTGGACCTCTTGTCCACACTTGATGTGGTTTTTTTGTAATGTTTCCCAGTATTATTAATAAAGTGTTGTTTCCCATCGAAAAAAATTTCACACATAGTAATCCAATCAATTATAACAAATTTCAAGCCCCAATTTTAAGTTCAATGTATAAAAGCAACATAGAAGAGAGGACCGCCAAGTCCGAATTCTGTTAGAATAAGCCTGTGACCCCATCAATAATTTACCCATGAATGACTGCAGCACCATCTGAATAAACCCATTCCGTAGAATCGAACTCCTTTATGTCCTCCTTACCCTCCAATTTTCAAAGAGATGCTGCAATTGTAAATAATATTTCAAAGGGATCAATAAGCAACTCATCAAATCATTTCATCTTGTTATAATTCAAATAAAATCAAAGCTCTATTGTCTACTATTCGGAAAAAAAATAAATGAGTAGCAATAATAGAAACCCTAACTACCAAAAAATCGAAAAACTACCGAAGTTATCAAAATCAAAAAATCTTTTATATGTTACCTCTCCCATGGCAGCACTGGTAGAAACCCCTGAAATCCCAAATCCTTTGAAGCTATCCACTGAATGGGCTAGATATATGCCACTCAATATCGAAAATGAAAAGGTGGAATGAAGAGAGAGGGAATACTGAAGATAAGAAAGTTAGGTGAAGGGATCGAAATAACCAACAACCATAGTGAAGGAGACCGGAGAAAGCTTCCTTATCTTTGGCCCCACTGTCCCCACGAAGAAATCGGGGAACACGAACAAATGGTTAAAAAGTGAGGGACCTGGCAAAAACTATTCTTTGTTGATTGCTGATTATATAAAATAAACGCACTGTTATATAAGATACAAAACTACTCGCAGTTCATTAAAATATTTTCAATGGGGACAAGTTCTAAATAATTGTCAAAATTCTAAGCACACCCCCGCTATAAATCTGCCACTGCTTTCAATACTTTGGGCAATCCGTCCCTCAAGTTTTTTGAGTTGAACATTTTGGAAATCGTATGATTAACAATCCTGTATCATTTTAGAGATCCTTTTTCCTTCTTGTGCCACCAACTCTATTGATTGTTCCCTTCTGTTAAGAAAATTTCTTCTTGTTGATGTGGATCTGCAACCTGCTCATTTTATATTTGTTTCTCAGGTATTGAACCACTTCTTTAAATGAAGAGCTTATGTTTCTCATTTCTACTACATCTTTGGCACTTTAGTTGTGTGGTATGTCATAGTAATCCACCTATCATTCTTCTCTGTAGGAGTAAAAAGATTTGTTTACATCTCAGCTGCTGACTTTGGTGTGGCAAATTACCTTCTTCAAGGATACTACGAGGGCAAGGTACTCTCGGCTATTTTGATTAGAAATTTATTGTTGATTTATGTGAAATTAGCTGCAAGACAGCGGGGAATGTAATGGCATGCTAAGGTAAGCTACATTATTTCAGCTTTCATATGTAGATACAAATTGATTATATAGTTGTTTGGGAAGTTTACCTACCCCTATCCAAATAAAAGAGGTTAAAATGAAATTTGCCTACCTTATCTAGTTCAAAATAGTCACATAATCTTCATGTGGCTTTGAGCCAGTCTGACAAATTAACATTGTTAACAGGGATGGCAAGATGACATTGATACCCTAATATGTTTCTTTCATAACCATCAATTCTGATCCGAGCCAAAACTACTGCATATCTAGGTCAAAACTACCCTCCATAGCTTCATCATTGCAAAACGTTCTACCACTACCATTGCAACCCCTTATTGTCCTCATGGCAGAACCCTCTATGACCACCTTGTGTAACTTTTACCCAAGGATTGAAATATCGTTTCGGTGTACCGTTTTGGTCGGTTCGAAAACGGAAAGGTTTCGGAAACACAACGAAAACAGAGAGGAAATATGAAAACACGTAGAAACACAAATTTCAATCCATTTATTTATAAAGATAAGTTTAATAATTGATTAATTGAGCATGTTTATTGGGTTAATATCTATTTATACAAGATAACTTCAAGTTGGAGGGGAAAAAAGGCTTCCCACGAGACGAAAATCACTTAAACTAGTTTCAAACACTTAATTTTAAATTGTGCCGTCAAATTACTAAGTAATATTATTCCATTAATATTAAAATCATTGCATAAACAATTTTGACTAGCAAATACTTAATTTCAGATATTTAGCAAACAGGGTATATATTATAAAATTAATTGCAACTGATGGGCCCGACCTAGACCGAGCCCAAATGCAAACCTACAAAAGCTCGATCATAATTTTAGTTAGGCCAAACCCACTGTCTTGAAAGATCCGATCTATTACTAGTGCCCGTGGAGATTTCCATTTTAGGAAGGGAATCCGTAGAAAGCAGTCATCGGAGTGCACATTGCCAGTTTTACGAAACCACCTCACTTGTTACGAGAATGACACCTCAATCACGACTCCCTCGGAGCCGTTATGAAACTTTACTTGCCTATAAATTGTAAGCCCAACTACACATGGGGGCATCACTCATCTCTTAGCACTCCACACACTTTGAGTAATAAAACTCTCTGGCCACTGTAACCATTCTTAGTGGAGTAGGTCATTCGGACCGAATCATCTAATCTGGGTGTTTGATTGTGTTGAGCATACCCTATCGCATATTCCATTGTATACTTGATTGATTTTGCATAAACACTTTTATATATCATTAGCAACTATTTAACAAACAAGGTATATTATTAATATACCAATTTAACAAATAATAATAATATACAAGAATAAAAGGAAAAAAGAAAAAAAAAGGAAGGGTTTATAATAAGGGTTATTAACAATGAATAGATGATAAAAGAAAAAAAGGGGGAGAAAAGATATTAACTTAATTAACAAATATAAAAGAGTTGACCAAAAAAAAAATAAAAGAAAAAAGGGGGAGAGAGGGGGAAAGATCTTAGACCCACCTGCAAGGCTCGCCAGCCCCATCCCTATCCAAATTTGTAGATTTAGGAGAAAAATGGTGCAATACCCATCTTAGATCTGCAAATCAAAGTGAGAAAGTGACTCGATGAAGACTCAATAGAGAAGAAGGAAGAAAGAGAGAGGAAAAAGAAGAGGAAAGGAAGAAGCTCATACTTGGAGGAGGTTGGATCTAGACCGTGGGAATGGAGGGTGGCTTAGATTTGGATTCAGGAAGGTATGCTGCTGAACTTTCTCCTGCTTTTGATTTTTGGGTGTGCTCTCTGTCTTGTTGAAGACGGGTTGATTGGGGAAGAATCTCTGCCCTTTTTTTTTTCTTGAAACGATAATTTTCTGAGCTTTGCTTTTGTCCCACCCCATATGAAAAATATCTTTCCTTTTTGGCGTGGACCTGCATTTTTTTTATATCAGTCGAATCAAGTCTATGTTTTGACCAAAATATCACTGTTTCAACTTAAACGGTCCGAAACAGTGACGGTTCGCTCGAAACACAGGATTTTTTGTTTTTCACCCCTATTTCATGTCAGTGTGTGAAAATCCAAAACGTTTTGAATGTTTCAACACGATTCTAGCATCGTGGATCACACTCCTCGCTACACGTAATGCCTTCGGAAGTGTCCTGATAGGTTTGATTTTTCTACTCTTGTTACTCTTTTGATTTTTGTTCTTTCCTGACTTCTATACACTTTTTGTCTGAACCAATCTCCTATAAGGAGGCTATACTTGATCCTCTTTGACAACAGACTATAGATGAGGAACTTTCGGCTTTACATAAGACTCGAGCTCGGGAGTTGGTCTCTTTATCTCCTGGTAAACGCAAAATTGTTTGTAAGTGGGTTTACAAAATCAAAACTTAATCTGATGGTTCTATGGAAAGATAAAAGGCTAAATTAGTGGTCAAGGGATTGCTCAAGAGTATGGCTCGGCTACGATGAGACTTTTGCTCCAGTTGCTAAGATGACCACGATTTGCACGGTGAAGCTTCTCTCAAATGAATGTGAAAAACGCTTTTCTTCATAGTGATTTATCTGAAAAGGTCTATATGACTCCTCCTCTGGGGTTGTCTCATGGTCCTGATCAAGTCTGCAAACTTCACAAGACTTTATATGACTTTAAACAAGTCTCGAGGGCATAGTTTGCTAAATTTTCTTCGGTCATATGTGACGTAAGCTTCTATGCTTGTGATCATGATTCTACTCTCTTCCTACGATCCATTTCTTAGGTTTCATTCTTCTATTACTTTATCTGGATGATATGACTATTACAAGTGATTAAAATGGTGGATTTCTACTGTTGAAAACTCAGTTACAGGGGTCTACTTCGATATTTTTTAGAGATTGAGGTTTCTTCCTCACCCAATAGTTATTTTATTTCTCAATCAAAGTATGTCTCGTATGTTATTCAGCGAGCTTCCGTATTGGATAATCGTACGGTTGACACACTCTTAGAGCTCAATGTTGGTTATACTTCCTCTGATGGTTCTTTCCAGCCTGATCTTACCTTATGTCGTATTGTTGGGAGTTTGGTATATCTTACTATTACTTGTCCAAATATAGCTTATGTTGTTTATGTGGTTAGTCAGTTTGTTGCTGCTCCTACCACACTTCACTGGTCAGTTGTTCTTCGGTATCTGTGGGGTACATTGCATCAGAGTTTATTATTTTCGTCCTCCTCGTCTCTAGAATTCCGTGTTGACTCTGATGCGGACTGAGCTGGTAATTTTAAGGATCGCAAGTCCACTACTAGTTTATGTCTCTTTCTTTCTGATTCTTTATTTCGTAGAAAAGCAAGAAACAAACTGTTGGGGCTTGATTCTCTATTAAAGGTGAGCATCATGCTATGACATCCACCACAACAAAAATAGTTGAGTTGCGTTGGTTGCTTGCTGATCTTGGCATTTCCTTGTTTACTTTTACTCCTATGTATTACTCATGTGTATTGTGATAACAACAATGTTATTCAAATTGTCCACAACTCGGTGTTTCATGATCGCACAAAACATATTGAGATTGATTGTCACTTTGTGTGTCATCATCTTCAGTTGGACACGATTTCTCTCCCCTTTCTTACTTTTACCATGCAGTTGCAGTTTTCTTTTAGAAATCTCACATCATCACGCGCTTATGTTTTTTTCTTGGCAAATTCTTGATGTTTGAGGGGGATGTTTGAGTAATCTAGTACATTAGCAGTAGGGGTAGATTAGTCACTTATGTTACTATGTTTTGCCCCTAGTATATATGCTTCGGGATCGAGGTTTCATTAGCTGAAGAAGACCCTAGCCAATCCTTTATTGTGAAGTTTTCCAACTTAACATTCTGTAATACAAACTTGGTTTATCTTGATGAGAATCTCTCTCTCTCCCTTTATCTTCTTTCCTCTTTCGTTGATAAATATTAACACCCTGGACATTAGCGGCAGATTTAAAGTTGCCACTTTTCCGCACCTTTTCTTGCACTTCTTATTTTTACTCTGTATTTTGGGTACTTGGTCCTATTGACTTGGCTATCGTTGTGAACAGAGATGAGCCTCTGAATTCAATATATATATATATGTATTTGTGAACAGCCTATTTGTGCACTTGTGAAGTTTAAGTTCCTTTTTGTTTTTTGCTTTTTGTGTTTCTGGCAATAACGTCATTTTTGTACAATGTTTGATGTAGAGAGCTGCTGAAACAGAGCTACTAACCAAGTATCCATATGGAGGTGAGCTTTCTCTTTGTCATAGTTAGAAACATGAGATGTAAATGTTGCGCTGCACTTATAGTCAGCTTTTTGAGGGCATATTTGACTGAGAGCTGAGGGACCTACCCTCCAAATTAAAAAAACTAGATCAACCATAATAACTGTTTTAGAATTAGGACTTCATATTCTGTTAAACTGAACTTATATTAAGATTTTGCGGGTCTGCTCATAGCATCTTCTAGCCGAAAAAGATGGTCCTATGTTTTTCCTGAATGGACACTTCTAACGCATGACATGAGTAATTTTTTTTCAGGAATAATTTTGAGGCCTGGATTTATTCATGGAACTCGTCGTGTGGGTAGCATGAAGTTGCCTTTAAGCGTAATTGGTTCTCCATTGGAGATGGTAAGTATTTTGGTATTTTCTTTTAAAATTTGCCCATGCTATTGAGTATGCATGTTCTCCTTATGCCCCAAGATGTTCTAAAAAATGATTGTGCTGGTAGATTTATTAAGGCATCTGACCCTTTAATCACAATTTTTGCTGCATATACTTTTTTAAAAAAACCAAAAAAATAAAAAGAAAAATTCATTTGCTGCAATCCAGATATAACTAGGTCTGGCTGCTCATGTTATTGCTTCAATGCCTACCTGATCTCTAGTTCACAAAAAGCTCTCTTTCTCTCTTGGTCTCTCCCCCCCCCCCCCCCCGCCAAAAAAAAAACCACCGTGCACACACACACACAGAGAATGACACCTAAGAAAGGGGCAGACCACAAATTCTAAATTCCAGTGTCACACCTCATGAAAGTCCCTTGAGGATGAAATAATTTTCCTCCATAACAAAGGTAAATTATGTACTTCGCAGGTTCTCCAACATGCAAACCACTGACTCAGGTCCCTCTTGTTGGCCCACTATTCACACTCCTGTAAAAGTTACTGCAGTGGCAAAGGTTGCAGTTAGAGCAGCAACCGATCCCGTTTTTCCTCCGGGCATCATAGACGTCTATGGAGTACTACGTTACAGCCAGCAGAAGTTGATATAGATTTGTTAAATTCTTATGTTTATCCATATGGAAATGCCGAGACAAGCTGTTCAATTTTCCTCACGTTGATAAATTTCAATATGCGCATAACAAAGAATTTTTAGATTTGTTGAGTTTGTAGTCCCATTGCAATAAAAATATGTGAATTGACTGGTATTTGGTTCCGGCTTGGTTTATTTAAAGGTTCACGGTGGTGTCTCGTATTGTGTTCCTCTTTAGAAACCAATTGTGCAAGCAGGTTGGAGTAGGTCTGCATCTTCTTGTATTTTGGTTCGATCGAAGTAGGCATTTACAGGAAGGCAAAATTGGTGGTCGGTGGCGGTGGTGGTGAGGGTGGGGTGGGGGTGCAAGTGGGGCAGTTACAATAGTGGTAGTCGTGCTGATCATTAGAGTGGTGTTGGGGTGGTGGTGGTGCTGGGGCGGTGGAGGAGGTGGTGATTGTGGGGGTAGTGGTGATGGTGATGGCAGCGCAACGGTGGTGGTGGTGGTGGTGGAGCGGTGGGTGTGGTAGGGTGGTAGTGTTGGCAGTGGTGGCGAGGCGGTGGTGGTGGCAAAGGTGGTGGTAGTGCTGATAGTGGTAGATCACTGGGGGTGATGGTAGTAGAGGTAGTGGTGGAGCGGTTCTAAATATATATTTTTTTTTAATGTACTTATGAAAAATAATTTTTAAAAATATTTTTAAAAAATTACTCTAAACATACGCTTAGGGACTTATTTTTCTTATTAAATTTAGGATTTTAATATTAGCCGTCAGATTAATTTTAAAATAAAATTTAAAGAAATTTTAATTGCAAATAGTAAAAGTTATTTTGTTTATTTTTTAAGATTTGAATGATATTATACTTTATTATATAGATATAGTTGTATTCGTATTAAGATCTATGTTTTATAAGTCATGTAAAGGACGTGTTTAGCATATTCATATCATATTTAATCAAGTCCATGTCGACATATTGATTTAATATATTTGATGAGCTCAGTTGTTTACAATACAAAATTTTCAAGATAAACTATTAATTTTGTGTCGACTTTGTGTTGAGTCAAAGAAATTTCTAGTCATAAAAATAAGAGTTTTTTGAGGTCAGTCCCCATGTCCAATAGGATTCCAAGAAAAAAAATTAATCACCAATTTTCTTTTGAGTTAGGTCCCTATTGAAAAGTCAAAGAAACAAACAAAACTAACACCCTTAAATATTATAAAAAATAACGACAATATCATCGTCAAATTTGAACATTAATTCTCAAAATGTATGTGAGCATAGTGTACCTTCTTCTACAAAAACTAGACTTGTCATATAGGTACACTAAACGAAAATGAGTTGCCCTCATTTAACGTATCCATTAAATGGCGGTTCATAGGTATAGTAATATACATTTACGAATATCGACTCATTTTAGTGTATTGCTGGCATAGACACATTGCCAAAAAAAGTCTGAACTACACAGACGTCTGTTTGATTAACTACACAACTAAACACCACAATAAACATATAATTAAATCTCTTCATTTAAAACATCTTTTCATTTACCCCATCAAAATGCCTCTATAAATACACAATGAAAAACTAGAACAAAACACAAAACAAAAAATGGAGCAGTCTAAGGCAACAAAGAACACAGTCTAATATCCAAATGCTTACTAGCTTTTTGAACGACGCCCATGCTAAACAAGATAAGCAGCAAGAAATCAACAGGCTGAAATTCAAACTCTACTCCTCCAATACCGCAACAAACGACTGGCGAAAAACTATATCAAAAAGGAGAGGAACATGAGCAAAAAGCTTGAGGTAGAGTTGGAGGACCTGAAAAATTGACCTCCTTCTTTGTTTTTTTTTTTGAAAAAAATTGAAAAATCCACATACTTAATTTCTCTTTTCTACATGAAATATATATTTACCTTTTAATGTACGAGCACCATTTGATAATTTAATTGTGTAACTAACTAACCAGGTAGAAAGACATGTGCCTTTGATTGTATACATGTACTATTCATACACACGCGATACATTAAAAAAAAACATGTTTACAAATATTTGAAATTCAAAAAATACTTGCTTAAATGATGGTATTTCCTAATCCATTAACATTCAAAAATGAAACCCCACCCCCACCCCCCAATCAAAAAAAAAAACTCAACCTTTTCTCATTCAATACTAAAGGTATTCTGTACATTTGTAAACACTACACTCAGACAGTTAATGTCTCAAAAGACATTCAATTGAACAAGTACCGTATCAAAAAACCATTCACTAGTATTGGTACATTGTTATTATACCTACCATTTACAATTTGATTACGTCTTCAATTCGTTTTTTTCTGATAAAAAACTAGGGTTTCATGCAAATACAACTCAATCCATACTAGGTTTTAATGCTATGTATTTTGTAATGTACATGTTACACGAATATAACTGCACATAGCTGCTCCCTCATTTTGTTAAATTTCTTTTGCATGTACCTGAATCTTAAATTTATTGTGCCTACGCCATGTACATAAATGACAACGAGGAATAGAAAATCTTCTCTCATGTAAAATAGGATTTCATTGCAATAACATACATGAATTTTATTGTCCCTGAATATACTCATATAGGTATATTGTTAATGCACTACTCATTAGCATTCGATTATGTCTTCCATTTGATTTTTGGTGAACTAAAACTAGGGTTTCATGCAATAAAACATTAAAAAATCGATTATTTTGTTATCAATTTAATAATGTACCTCTTATTCGAATAATAATGATCATTACTTCTCACTCACTTTGTTTGACTTTTAATATCATGCACATGTATCTTAAAATAATTCTACCTATGCTATGTACCTAAGCGACAACCATGATTAGAAAACCTTTTATTATGAATCTGCATTGTGAAGTGTTTCATGCTAATGTACTTGTAATTTTTTTCCCAATACTGAACTGTGTACCTGTAACTTAATGTACCTGTTATTACCACTATATACAAATTACACCATGTCGACAAAGAGAACACCTAAGAGGTCTTCTACCGACCAATTTAGGTCCAACTTGCTATTTTTTATCGGTGTGATGAAAGACATCAAGCATTTGGTAACCACACAACAATTGAAGTTAATAAAAACAACTCCATTTTGGACCTTGTTCGAATCATACTAAAACAAACTAGTTTCAAATTTTTTTTACATGAAGTCCAATCATGATATCGCACACATAATTCAACATTTTAATTATTAACATAAGGAATTTTTTTACTGGAAAGAACACAATAGAATTTAAGGCGTCCCACGTAGCTGCCATTTTTAGACTGCCAAACACAGGTGACAAAATAAACCTAAACCAAAGGAAAAAGATAAAAGAATGTTTTCACAGAAAGATATTTCACAAATGCACACAAAATCATTAAAAAATTTGTGGAAAATGGTATAAGAAAGGTAATACAAGGAAGCCAACCAGCAGGCCAAGAGGATTTTGTGCGGCTGGTGGCACTATACTTCTGCACCACGCTACTCTTTTGCAACACAGGAAATTTAATTGCCTGGTTCTTTATCAACTACATAGACGACTTGGGAAAATGTCAACTTATGCATGGGCCACAACAGTTCATAAGATGCTAGTAGGCTCAATGATTTAGGACTTCAACAAGCCTAGAATAGTTACAGGATATGTGATCGCTCTTCCGGTAAGACCAACAACTATAATCCTCTTCAGCATTCTGAATAATATTCTACTCTGAATCCATTAAACTGATTTTTTTTATACAAATATGGTTGTGTGACACAACAACCATTGTGGCCCCCATCAAAGGAAGGGGAAATATCAATTATAGATTCCTCAGATGGAATCTACCATTGCTAAGCAAACAACTAGTGATGCCAAAAACAAGGGCAATCAAAATTCGGAGTAATCAACAACAGGTACATTAATAAACATCACAACATCAACACACCTTACACAAATTATCCAAACACATCATTGCTTATTTCTTCCAATTCACCAAAATGCACTAGACTACCAACATCCAGCTGTCTCGCAATGCCACTCCCCCCAGCGAGGAAAAAAAAGATTAAACAGCATCTCTCAGAAACACATGATAATGAGAAAACAAAGAGAATTACAAGAAGAGACAATGAAAATGATAGCCCTATGAAACCGATTGCCATGGATCATATGTCATTGACAAACGTCAAGGTATACTATAAAACAACCTTACTACACATTTGATACATAATGACACAAATCCAATAATACCATATTTGTATGATAGGTTACAAGCGAGGAAACTATGCAACAACTAGCGGAAACCTATCATGAACTGCAATCCACTGAATAGGAGAAAACTCTGGTTTGACGTAACAAAAGGAAAAGATACATGAAAATAATTTCCTCCCCAGAAAATGAAGATACTGATTCTATCCAGTCAACTGATGAATACCTTACAATAGGAAGTAAATGGTTCACTACATCTCAAATAAGGTACGGACAAATGAACTTGTTATGAAAAAATGTTACTATACCTATAAGTAGAGAAAAATCTATTGTTTTCCACCACGTAAACCATTATTTGACAAACTCATCAATGCTTGGACTTGTTCTTTAAAAAAAAATCTACTTGCTGGAGCTATTTGATGATAAACCTAAACCGCTATGCATAACTCCAACTGTGTACATTGGACCCAGTAACGTGGACTATGGAAAAAGTTCACAAGAGATCATTGTTCACCCGTCCACTAATAAAGCAACCCCACACCAAAAGATCAACGCAGACACCTCACCACATGAGGGGGATTACATGTCCTCAACAACACTAATCATTGATATGTACATAGAGGGTGAAGAAATGCGACGGAGGTTGAAGGAATACTAGTAAATGATCGAGAACTAGGGTGAAGAAGTTGAGAAACCAAGAAATAGGGCTTACGATCGGACAGACAAATTGGAGAAAGAGAGAACTACCATAGAAAATGAGAGAGAAGCAAACAACCAAATGT